GCCACAGGAAAGGTAGCACACTGATGATTGATTTAGGAATTTGAGGTCTCTGAGGAGCTCAGACAAAAAATTGCTTTGGCGAACTCTGAACTTACTCATTGCACTTAAAAGTAGGAGAGAGAGATGCCAAAAGAACCCACCCCTTGCTTTTCAGTTTGAACTTTTAAATGTTTGAGAAGTGGTTTTCCTGTGGGTATTTGCAAATATGCGTTTATGGGTATGTGTTGACAGGAACGAAGAAAAAAAATCATCATACAGATGACAGTGACTTTTGTCTTTGTTTTCTCTTTGTTATGCTTCTTATCCTTGGAAGAAACATTGTTATAATAGAAATAATGTGGAAAAGCACTAGTTGATTATAGTGTTTTATGGATCATTAGTCCTTTGCTTATAGGTTTTCCCCCCCTTTAATTGCCTGCCAATTTCTCCTAATGTTCACCCCAAATCCACCACTATCACTTACAAATATGGTCTTATTCACCCAAGAGTGTACTATACCCCAACCATTTTTCTCCCTTGTCATTTAATCTTTTCTTTTTTCTTCTTAGCATTCTGCTTTCCCCACTCAGTGGGTCAGATTGGCATCCTTACCATTGCTGATGCCTCACAGTGGTTCAGGGGGTATAGTGGGAGGATGGAAAACTTGAAACTTCTTTCCATTTCTTAATTCTACACCTGGCTACTTGTTCATTCATTCAGCCTCCACAGAGTAGTATTGAGTGTACAGGGAACACAGCTCCTGCCCTCAAGGGCATCATAATCCTAGATGTGCATTGGGTGGGGATAGGGCATAGCAGGAGCATGGCATACTGAAGAGTAGGTTTAAGGAGGTTGGGAGTAGTGGGTACAGTGTATGCCAGAAGAGTTTAGGATATAGACAGGGAGTGATGGGAAGTATAGGAATTTTAGGTAAAAGGATTATCATGAATAAAGGTTGGGAACCACATAGAGAATAGGTTAGTTTTTTTTTTTTTTTTTCTGAAACTATGTAGAGCACATAAAGGGCAGTGAGAGAGGTAAGGCTAAAGAGATGAGCTGTGGTATGTACAGAAGGCTTTATGTATGTGGAGTTCAGGTTTCCAACACAGAGCCTGGTCCAGTAGGAGTTGTTTGAGTAGGATAATAGCAACATTGGAGAAGGCCTTTCCTCTCTGGGTTATTCTTAGATTCCTAGCATATGCGTGCTAGAAGTGGCTGGTCTAACCCAGTCTCCACATTATCCATACGAACGTGAGTGAGTCCCTTAGGAGATAATTAACTTGGTCAAGTTCAGGAAGTTGGATATTATTTTCTCCCATGGAATATGGTGTTCATAGTATTGTATTTGTTTGCACCCACTGGCAAACTTTAAGAGGCACCATTGATCTCTGCAAAAAGAATCTTTTTGCAAAAATGGAATATTGCTGTAATTTACATTATATGGACAATTCTAACACACTGGCATTGTAGGCTTTGTACTTTATATGAGGAGAGGCTTCCTATACACTTCATTTACAAAGTAATGGTTGTATTAGGTTTCGAAAGGAGAAAAGGCATAGAACAGTCTTAATACTGTTTGCCTTAAAATCAGAATTTGTGTTGACTTTGACATACTGCCTTTAACATTTGTTATGATAGTAACTGAACTTCATGAAATCACTGGTCATAGAAAGGTAAGCTAAGACTCTTATATGTGATCAGTAGTACGTATTTTCATTAAAGCAATCACATTCTTATAATGATTGGCAGTAGCAGTTTGTAGAATGCAGCTGTTCATATCTGAAGTGCTATGAATCTTTCAGAGCAATCTCATGGAGTCCAAAGTCTCTAGATGAGACTTATATTCAGCCTAAACAACAACGAGCTTAACTGAGTTTTTATTTTTGTTCAATACATTTACATTGGGATATTTGCAGCGGTAGTCTGTTAATGCTAGAGGGGAAAGTATAGGGCAAGTTTCTCATTGGTTTCATTTTATGTGACCTTACAGTATTTACCCGGCGTAGAAGTTTTATAAGTATTTGACATTTGACAGGCTCCATTTTATAAAATACAGTTTCTAAGGCCCAGAGAAATGAAATGTATTTTTTTCAATGAATAGTAAACATTGACTCTGTGCCTGGCACTGTATTGGGAATTAATAAAAGATAGCCCAGGTACTGTCATTTTCCACATAATATTCATTGTGTTCTTACCCTTAAAGATATGGGAGTTGATTCTTATATTTTGATTTTAGCTGGTAGAAGGCATTTTGTTTTTATCAGCGGAAGTATGGTAGAAGAGGCTGTTTTGCTAGCAACCACCAGGTGTCAGCAGAGGACTTGGAATTTTGGCAACCTCTGCATTCTTGGTTTCCTTAATTCACTAATGGCTTCCCCATTGGAACTTTTCAAAGGCAGTCAACCTCCATTGGGCCACCTTCTCTCAGATTTAATGTCAAACACTTTCTCCTCCGGATTGCATCACAAAATAAAAAACACACAAGTTCCTTGGTCTTTTTCTGATTGAAAAACTAATTGTACCTTTCACAGTAGAGAGGCTGCTGCGGTCGGGGAGAAATTACCAAGCTCTTATTGTTTTTGCTGTCCTCTCCTACCATAGAGGCAGAGGCCACCTTTATCTGATATGGGGAGAGGTACAGGGTCCATTCTTTTTACTCACAGAAAGTCAATCTGATAATGGAGCTTGATGGTCCTAAACTACAGAAACTGTCTTCAGGATGTAAAGTACAAAGGCCTGGGCATTTATTCTCTACAAACCACCTGGTTCATCGTGTAGCATGGATTCTGTGGTCGTCACACACATTAAGGAACGGTGTGTGTGTGTTACCAAAAGTTCTGGTACTGATTCTTGAGGTAGCACCAGAAAAAAATCTAAACAGGTAGTTTTTGAGAAGAAAGGAAAGGGGCCTTTATTACTTTGCTGGGGGAGGGGTTGTAAAATGGCAGAGTGCTCCGGTCAAAATACAAATTAGAAACTCAGAGCTTTTGAAAGAGAGGGCCTATTGTTATTCAACCATAGTTAAAGTCCCCTCTTCCCTGAAGACAAAACTGTGACCTCCTCCGCCCACCTGGGAGGCCTACCCCCACAGCTCACACCTTAGCACCTCAGCCAGCCTGCCAGACGCTGGCCTCCAGGCCCAACTTCTGTAGTGGAAAAGAACTACACTCAGTTCCCTGCTCCTCACTGCCAGAGGTGGGGATACAGGATTTGCTCGGTTTCCAAAAGGAATTTTAAAGAGACAGAAAACTTTTTTGCATCTTTTTCAAGCCATTTCCTCTGTTTCCTGTTGACCAGCAGGGCAAACCTCGGGAAAGTGGGTATTGGTTTGTTTCACGCTGGTTCTCTCGTTTGTCCTCTTGCCTCCTCACTGGAGTGGGCATGAACAGTAATCCGAGGCATTTGGCATAAGACCCCGGGCTTGTAGGGGTGAGGGGAAACTTGCCTGTTTCCCCTGAAAATTCAACTCACAATTAGTGCATTTTAATAAGAGAAATGTCTGTTTCCAAATGCCATGCCTGTGGGGAGAATCACAACAGTGATTACCCAATATTTCAATGAAACTCAGATATTTGTATACCTGCCTTTAGAAGGGAGAGGGGCATCTGAAGTATAGGTGTAACTGTGGTTGGTAGGGAGAAAGAATAGATGTGGGGAAACAGACTGAATTGTAAATTAACCTGAGAGACAGCCCTTGTGTTTTAAAGGATTTGGGCCAGGTCTTCTTGATCTTTCTAGCACTCTGTTGAGGTAACTGGGAGAGGAAAGGAAGTCAGTTGCCCCTTTGATATTTTGATCTGGTCAGTTTAGTTTATGCAGATACGGGGAAGGCTCCTTCCACTGATTTCTGGCCTTATAATTCTAGGTATTCCATATCCCTCGGGTCAAATTACCTTAGTTCCTTCAAGCTTTAGGGTGGGACAAAACTGGGGAAGGGCTCCTTGGACACCCAGGTTACTTTCAAGCCTTGTGTGGTGTCCAAAGAGGTAGCAGTTAGAAAGCTGTCAATCTGAATGAGTTGCTAAGCTATTTGCAAACTAAAGGAGAGACCAAGTCCAGAGATAATTAAAGACAGGAAGCAACTTCACCTGCTAAAAGCTGCTGGGATGTGTGGCCTGCAGGGGATGGAAAGTTAGGCAGAGCAGGCAGCCTCGAGATCTGTCCCCTGAAATAAGGGCCTATTTGCTGTAGGGTTCTAGTTTAGGCATGCTGTAGAGATTTCCTTTGGACTGATCAGTGGGATTTAACAAATCGCATTATAGCCAATTCCAGGAACTGTTCGGATTCTTCTGTTGTTTTATATTGAATAAAGTATTGTAAATGAGACAGCACATCAATAGGGATTCAAAAATACTTGGAATATTTTGTTTTCATGGAGATTTTGCAATAATAGTCAAAGAGAATCACTGTGTTCCTTAAAACATTGTGCAGGATGTCCTTACAATACTGTGTACACACATGCCATCAAAGAGGGCCACTGACATTCTTCTTGGGTTTGTACCTAACTCAGCATTGGAGCAGATCTAATTGGACAAAATCAAAGTGTCTCTCCTCTATCATGGTTTTTTTTTGGGGAGCACAGAGACTTTTTTTGTTATCCAGGCTAGAGTGCTGTGGCATCAGCCTAGCTCACAGCAATCTCAAACTCCTGGGCTCAAGCTATCCTTCTGTCTCAGCCACCCAGGTACCTGAGACTACAGCACCCATCACAACACCCTGCTAATTTTTCTGTTTTGAGTAGAGATACTGGGTCTTGCTTTTTTTTCAGGTTGGTCTCGAAGTCCTGAGTTCTAGGGATCCACCCACCTAGACCTCCCAGAGTCCTGGGATTACAGGCATGAGCCACGGAACCTGACCTCTACAATGCTTTTAATCTCTAACATTTCCTATTGCTCAGAGAATCCTACAACAAGTACCATCGTGTTCGTGGAATCTTGAGCCTCCAAATATGGCCACATGGCTTTGTGTTGATTCTCATCTCTCTCAACAATGGTCTCACACTCTCCTCTCCATCTTTTTAGATCACTGGGGTGATCCTCCTGGCCGTTGGAGTCTGGGGCAAGCTCACTCTGGGCACCTACATCTCTCTTATTGCTGAGAACTCCACAAATGCTCCCTATGTGCTCATCGGAACTGGCACCACTATTGTTGTCTTTGGCCTGTTTGGATGCTTTGCTACGTGCCGTGGTAGCCCATGGATGCTGAAACTGGTGAGTGCGTCACCACATGATACCATCTTTTCAATTTTCTTTTGGTAAACATATATAAAACCACATGAAGGTGAAGTGTTCCTTCTTGAGGCCATAGACAAGGTCTTAATATTCATTGATTTTAATTTAGTCCAGACTCTTACCTAATCTACTCTTTAATCCCCCAAAGGGAAAAACAACCGCAAACATGGCCTGACACAATAAACTAGTCCCAGTGCCTCAAGGTAGATGATAACAAAGCAGAGGCCAGCGATTCTAATAGACCATTTGGAGTCTTATGACAAGATGTCCTGTTTCAGTTTTAAACTTTGTCTTAGAAATGTTCTCGAGTGTGGGAGGTGCAGCTTTGGTTTGCAAAGCAGCATCTGGAACATGAGCACTCTTTCATGTTCTCATTCCCACTGGAGAAACACTTCTGCCTCCTTGACCTTGGCCATGCGTGGATGCATGTGTCAACTAAAATAAAATCTTAAGCCCTTACCCCTGCAACGACTGACTGACTAGACTCCCTCTTGGCCACGAGGATCCCTAAAACTGAGTTGCCGGCCATGAGAAAGGAGATCCGACTTGCCTCATCATGCCTCTTCCCCTTCTTAGAGATGTCCTCTGGGACTGATTAATAAGCCTAAGGCTATGTGAGAAGTACCTGCAGGTCCGAAATATATACAACTAACCCCTTGAGTCTGGGTATCTGTCCTGTAGTTTGTCTCTGATGAACAGATCCTTATCTTAACTCAGCATTCCTTTTCACTGATTCCTGGTCTATTAGAGCTTAACCTTTTTAGCCCATTGTCAGCCAAAGAATCTTTAAACCTATAACCTGTGGGCCCCGGCTTTACGATGTCCCATCTTTTGGGGCCAAACCAATGTGTACCTTTCTCAAATTGACTCATGACTTTACCTGTAATCCCTGTCTTTCTAAAGTGTATAAAACCAAAGTGTAACCCCCACCTCTGTCTACATTCTCGAGGCTTCCTGGGTTTGGCTGTAAGTCGTGGAGCTCAAATTTGTCTCAAAATACACCTCTTTAAATTATTTTACAGAGTATGGCTTCTTTTTTGTCAACACATGTGCATACTCTTCTCTAAACCTGCATCCCTCACTCAGAGTTGAGCTAAGCCAGAGTCTCTGCACTCAGATGGTTGGCATAGTACCAGGTGTTGGCTACCAGGATCTGTGCAGGGTGCTTAAACTCTCTCAGGACAGACAAAGCTGTGATGCTTCCTAAAGAGGGAAGGGGCAGGCTACTGAAAGCCTGTTACTATGAATTGTAGAGTAGAGTGCTGTGGTGTCATAGCTCACAGTAACTTCCAACTCTTGGGCTTAAGTAATTATCTTGCCTCAGCCTCCCAAGTAGCTGGAACTGTAGGCACCCTCCACAGTGCCCAGCTATTTTTTGGTTATAGCTGTCACTGTCATTTGGCAGGCCCAGGCTGGATTGGAACCCGCCAGCTCTGGTCTATGTGGCTGGCACCCTAGCCACTGAGCTACAGTCACTGAGTCGAATTGTAACTTTTTGATAGACCTATTGCCTAATTACCTACTCCCTATCCACATTCTTGGTGGATAAGGATTAACATTAAAGATTTATAAATTCAAATTAGCAAAGACCTCTCCTCAAAAGAAAATTTTGCTTAAAATGATTTATTTCAGGTGTCTCCTCCTATCAAAGGCAGAAGCAGAGAATCCATCAGGGCTGTGTTGCCTGTTCCTGCTCAGCACAGGGTGGAATAACATTTAATACCATCTAGTAACACGTGAATGTGTGAGGGCGATTCATTTGAAAGGAAGCATCTTCCCAACTGTCACTGGGCAGTCAGCCTCTTTTTTGGCACCCTCCTGGAAGTGGTGCTTGACTTGGCCACTTCCTGTCCTATAGACCTTACAGGAAGCTGATGCTTCAGCTACCACCAGCTCTTCCAGGCTGATGCAAGAACCATAGTGTGGCCAAATTGAGGCACTTCTGCTGTTACATGACACTCTATCCTAGCACCCGGAGCCTACCTTTAACTCTTTCCATACACACTGGGGCTTCTTTTGGTCTAGTGTGGTCCTCCCCTCTGGAAGCATGTTTAAATCACCTGGGAAGCTGTTTGAAAACAACTGTGCCAGGGTCCCACCTCAAGTTAATGAAACTTAGAATCTCTGGTAGTGAGGCCCTGGCATCATATCTTCTAAAACAGGCATCCTCAAACTACAGCCCGCTGGCCACATGCAGCCCTCCAAGGACATTTATCCGGCCCGCAGGGTGTTTTTGCTGCTGCTGCCTGTCCTGCTTAGCAGCCGACTCGTCCTGGGGCCGGCAGTCCGGCCTTCCAACGGTCTGAGGGACAGTGAACTGGCCCCCTGTTTAAAAAGTTTGAGGACCCCTGTTCCAAAAGTTCTTCAGAGGAGGCTATTATATACCAGAGTGGACAACCTCTTGTTAAGTACAATGAGTAGCATTGTGAGATTCTCCCTGGAGTAAAGTGTGCTTCTAATTGCATTTTATAGGAAGTTGACAGAGAGAAGTCGCCTACATGGGGCATTCTACTTGTCACTGCATGTTTAATATTTTAGTGGCTGTTTTTCATAGGGAATTTTTTTTAATATGTAGAAAAAAATTGGTATTTTAGGCTAGTGTTTCCTTCTTTGACTACAATGTGCCACTAGCTGAGAAAAATGATTAATGATTCTGGGTTTATATGTATGCCTTATAAGACAGATGTACGCTTTACAGATAAGTAATGGGGCCACGTGCAGTCTGTCCACATTCCACAGCATCATTTAGGGCCATTGCAAATGTTCCGAACCATTGTATTTCACTTTGAGATGAGAAGCAGCAGATTGTAAGACATGTGCCTTATAGGTAAGGAATCAATTCTCCTTCCTTTTATCTGCCTTTCAAACGGACAAAAATGGAAACCTTTAGTATATCATAAGCACCATGTAATGTTGCTGATCTGAGACACGTGCACGTGGGCGCACACACACAGTCAACTTGGGAAGTACAGGCAGCAAGAGATGAGAAGCACCAAGGGTGTTCGCTGCTTGCAGATGTCATTAGTGGTGTAGCGTATTTGCCTTTTGAAAGGCTCTAAGCTTAATGCAGAGTCGTCAGGAACAGTAAAGGCAAGCAGCCCCACAGAACACTGCTGAGGATGCAGTGATCAGAGGTGACTACCATACTGACGAGAAACGTCCTCCTGAGCACGTTCTGCTCTTTGGGCCCAGATGGGAGTGATACAATTCCCAATGAAGTGGTTTTGTAGCTGTTTGTCTGAGACATGGTTAAGGAAGCCAGAGGGGTTGGTCCAAATGAAGAGAAGCACCAGGTTCACATCCTGGCTGTGTCACACACAGAGGGTAGTGCGAGGTTGGGCTGCTGCTTCTATCTGCTTAAAGCACAACCATTACCAGCAAATAGAAGTTAGAAGTAAGCAGTCTTATGGCCAAGGGAAAGGAACTCTTTCTAACAATTGGAACCAGTTCCAAACAGAGTGGGCTGCAGGGGGTGGGCTTGCAGTTGTTAGATGACCATTGTGGGGAAGGTGGTTAAGAAGGACCCGCAGACAGGGGAGAATTAGGTCCCGTGAGTTCCAGCGTAGTTTTTTTGGGTTTTTTCCCCCCTGGCTCAAAGATTCTAGTGTTACAGTGAATACCTTAGTTACAAAAGGTCTTCCCAGATTTCTGGTTGAGCTGAGCTGACAGGCACAATGCTAGTCTCTCAATAAGCTCTCCTCAGCATGCCCACCCCCAAATGCATGTGCATATTAAACCCTTTTTCCTATATGGAGGCTTATCTGAGTAAATCTGGAGAAAGACTTTTTTTTTTTTTTTGAGACAAAGTCTTACTATGTCACCCTGGGCAGAGTGCTGTGTTGTCACAGCTCATAGCAACCTCCAACTCTTGGGCTTAAGCAATTCTCTTGCCTCAGCCTCCTGAGTAGCTAGGACTATGGGCACTGGCCACAACGCCTGGCTATTTTTTGGTTGCAGTTGTCATTGTCTAGCAGGCCCGGGCTGGCTCGAACCTGCCGGCCTCGGTGTATGCGACTGGTGCCTACTCACTGAGCTACGGCGCCGAGCCTGGAGAAAGACATGTTTAAACTTTTTCTGGGACGATTTGTCCATTCCCCCCCAACAGGAAGTCACCTTCCCTGTGGAGAAGGCTTCTCTTCGTCCTGCCATAACTGACTTTGTCCTTGTCCTCTTCATTCCAGTATGCTATGTTTCTGTCGCTGGTGTTCCTGGCTGAGCTTGTAGCTGGCATTTCAGGGTTTGTGTTTCGTCATGAGGTGAGTACACACCACATGGAGAACCCAGTTAAAGGGTCTTTGGGAAGAGGATTTTGGAAACATCTTGAAATGGGTAAACTTAACGGTGCGTATGCGAGCCAGTTTCCCCAGTGGAACTGCTATTTTCCAAATGTCATGTAATAAATAGGACCCGAAACTCCAGTGAAATTCTAAATGCAGGAATTTCACCAAACTCAAAACCTCAATTATTGATCTTCACCCTATTTCTCTACGTAGCTATTACATAAAATGATTTTCCACCTGTTTTTAAGCAGCAACCTTCAACATAAATTAAATACCCCTTTAAAAATAGCTGCTTCAACAAGGCACAAGCACATATCTGGATAATAGGATTTCTGCGACTGTAAAGGCAAGCCAAACTAATTGCCTTGCTGCCCCCCAAATCCATTAGTGTACCCTGTAAATAGCAGTAAAGCCAGAAGTAGATATGCGTGTGTTAAAAAAGAAAACAGTGAAATATAGGTGGCAAACCCACGAGGTAGAGTGTCACTGTGAGTCTGGAAAGTCGGGCACCATCTGTTCCCAGGCCTTGCTTTGGTGCTTGGGCAAGTTCATTTCCCGGCCAGCTTGCCTTATGTGCATTCTGCTCCTTTGCCTGTTGCCCCGGTTTTCCCCTTCACCAGAGAGATGTTAGCCCAGATGCCAAAAGCTGACTTCCCGAAGGCATTTCACGTGACTGCTGCATCTGGAATTACACTCCCCTTTTTTATTCCCCAGTGATGTGAGATTTGCTGAAGTCATGGCCTCGAAAGCCCTGATAGGTGCTCCAAGTACAGTGTGAACTCCAGAAGCAGCCTAGCTCCCTGCTGCCTGAGCCCTTGTGTGCTGTCCTCTCACACACTGCTGTGACTGGGCTCCAGACAGAGGGGTTTTCTCTTACTGGTTTCTCCTACGTAGGGCCTGGAAATTCTTATCAGCATAACTTCTTTTCATGGAAAAGACTTATGGGTGTGGTGGGCAGGGGTTGCAATGCAACTCTTCGACCACCACAACTGGCCATGAGTTTGGCTGAAAGAGTCAAACTCGTAGGTCACATTTAGTGCCATTTACTCTGAAAGATACAGTGAAGGAAGCAGAACTTGCCAGAAGGGCGGTAGCAGGCCTGTTTCTTCAAAGTGGTCCAAGGCCTATTCCTGTGTACAGCTCCCCACCCCAAGAGACAACCCAGAGCAGTGAAATGAAATACACAACTGGGTGTGGTAGCCAACTTGGCTTAGAAGTGCAATGTAAGTACTGACCCTTTATTGCTTGTGACTGTCCCGTGGGCATAGTTTATAGTATTTCATCAAGGAGTATGTGTAGGTAGGAGAGTAACCATACTTAACCCAAAGCTTCCCACAGGTGATTATTGTCATTTGCTGTCCTCCCAATCCACAGGCATTTCACCAATGGGGTCAGTTTCACCATAAGTAGGGATGCCAACTAACACACCTGAAATTCCACCTTATCAGGTTCCTAACCGAAGGACGCTTGAAAGTTACTTCAAGGTCGAATATGTTTACAGAGAAGGGGAAAGGATTTTGTTAACCATTTATTAATGAGAAAAGTTCTTGTCCTTTAGCCTTTTTTTGCCTCAATAAAGACAGGTAAGTGAAAGTTGGTTTTGCCCCCCTCTTGTAGAATAGGGACGGGTTCTGAGCCAAAACATCAGTCTTCCTGTCCCCTCAATGATCTGTCCTTTGTCATTCTTCTGTGTCAGGGCAGAGAAAGAGAAAGAAAAAAGGCATTAATTCAAAGAAAATAACTAGGAAATTCATGCCTTTTAGAAATGGACTGGCCACTTCAGTGGGTCATTTAACAGGTCAGGCTTTTTCTGGATTAGGGCTGAGGGAACATTTTTTTTTTTTTAATTCCTGAGATGATGCCCCCCTTTTCCTCTTATGTCTCAGAAAATGGGGCATTCCTTCCTTGGCCTATATTTATTCAGAGACCTTCAGAAGAGGCTATGTTGAGATAGAAGTTGGTGTGGATCTGAGTCAGTTTGGGCTACCAATGACTACAACTCCCTTCTTCCTTGTCTTCCATAGATCAAGGACACCTTCCTGAGGACCTACACAGATGCCATGCAGACTTACAATGGCCATGATGAGAGGAGCCGGGCAGTGGACCATGTGCAGCGCAGCGTAAGTTCCAGGAGAGGAGATTGGGACGAGAAAGAGTCTGGGCTTAGATGTGTGGGCTGTCAGTAGGTTGGGTCAGCATTTGCTGTTGATTCTTATTCTCCAACCTGTAGTCCAGTTCCATTCCCAAGAGTTGACACCTACTTCTTGTCTAGACAATTAGTGTCAAGGCAGAACAGCTCCCTTGAGTGTGCCTTGAAAGGGTGGCAAGCATGCCAGGAAGAGCTTGTTTGCCCTTAAGATATGAACCCTGAGAAAGGAGTTAGGCAGTGAGTGAGTGTTGCCTTGCTTAGTTGACTCTCAAAGGCTAGCTTTCTGGAATCAATATCTTCAAGCTGGGCAGAGAGCTCGGGTGAGCCATGTTCACTGGTTGGGATAGTAGAATGGAAGTGGAAAATGGGCCTAGGAGAAACTGAGGATCTGTCAGGTACGTGAATGACTTGGGCTGCCTAGTGCTTTGCCGAGGATCTGAGGGAAATGAAAGAGAGTTACCTGCTTGGATGCATTTGGGGTTGCAGGTGCAGGCACTCCACCTGACTACACATCAGGATCATCTGAGGAGGTATTGGCTTTGGGTTTTCTTGTTTTGTGGTTTTTGCTTTACTCCAGAAGCAATATTTTTTTATAATTTATTTTGATAAAGTTTCTAACTTATATGGAAAATTCACAGGAAGACTACAAGGAACTGCATACTCTCTACCCAGACTCATCAATTGTATTTTTGTCCCATTTGTGCTTTAATATTCTCTATATCAAGGGCTGGGAAACCTTTCCTCTAAAGGGTCCAACTGTAAATATTTTATGCTTTGAGGGTCATGCACTCTGCCACAACTACACACCTCTGCCACTAGCCCAAAAGCAGTCACAGACAATATGTAAATAAGCATAGGCATGCCTGTGTCCCAGTAATACCTTATGTCTAAACAGCTGACCTTTATACCAGCTCTCTCTTCCTCTGTGTGCATCTTTTATAAAAACTATTTATTTACTTATTAGTATAGATGCCAGTGGAAAGTTTTTAAAAACCATATTCGCCTCAGCTCCCCCATCAACAATCCTGCTTTAGTTGGTACACACTTCTGTACCTTTAACCGTACCCAATTCACACAGGACAGAGAACCTCTGCTTCGGGTTGTGCAGGTGGTAAGACAGCAAACACAATATACATGTATAATCTAGGACCCCCTTCTTGGAGATCAAATGGGCGTGGAAGTGAGTATGATTGTGAGTGGAGCTTCAGTTCATCTTTACTCACCAAGGCCGTGCATGTTATCTGAGGAGCCTGGCCTGTGTTTCTCTTTTAAAAGTTGCAGGGCAGTGGGTAAAGAAACCAATGTCTTCAATCTGCCACTTTTTGATTCTGCTCCTTTCCGTCTTGATAGTTGAGCTGCTGCGGCGTGCAGAACTACACCAACTGGAGCACCAGCCCCTACTTCCAGGAGAACGGCATCCCCCCCAGTTGCTGCATGAACGAAACTGATTGTAATCCCCAGGATCTGCACAATCTGACCACTGCCGCCACCAAAGTTAACCAGAAGGTATAGCTTCCTCCCCTCCCTGATGGGACCAGTGGTGAATGTTGGGGAGGGCTTTTTTGTCACTGTGAAACTATGACAAATAGGTCAGAAATGGTAGTCCAGGAAAGAATCGAGACTCTTTCTTTGTGGTCCTTAATGGCCTGGAAGAGGCACTTGAGGCTGCTCACTTCTAACAGAGAAAACTGAGGCTCAAACCAGCCTCACATTTCTTTCCTGCAGCAAAAATCTACCAGGCACAGTTAGGAAGACTTAGTAAGTGGTTCCTGTTAACCTTGATGCTTATGTCAGACAGGGAATGTTGGCTTTCTTCTTTCTGGGTGTCTTTCTCCTGCTTAATATACTATCTAAACATGAAATTATTCACAGCTGGGTGCCAGTCTTTGGCAAAAAGATTGGAACAGAATTGACAGACAGCATCTGCTTCTGCTAGGAGGGTGGCCTTTATTTTCGGGAGTTCACTGCCATAGGAAAGAAATCAACAACTCCAATTTAACTCACTGTCAACATCCTGATTTCCAAAGAAATCAGAAAGAAATGATGGCTAAAAGAACTTTGAAAATTAGTCCATGGTAGAAACAAGGAAAATGAAGTTTCAGTAGTCAGAGAAAAGGAAAGTCAATTCTGTGTTCCACTTTGTGGCGAATATGATAAAGACCTGATAGAACTGCATTTGAAGGCTATCAACATTCTTCAATGTTTAAAGAAACTTCATATGTAAAATATGTTTTGGCAAAATTAGACAGGAAGGGGAAGACCTGTGGTTATTCAGCCATGGGGTACATTTTCTTTTCTTACTAAAATTCAATCTGATGTTTTCAAAAGTTTATGTGATTTGATCCAACTATTGAATCATTCAGAGATAAAATAGCCATTCTCTCTAGATTAAAATGTTAAGATGTGCCTTCTGTGTTGTACTCATTTAATGTTGGTATCTGTAGCCTAAGCACTGCAAGACATTTTTGCCATTCTGGAAGCTCATTTGGTCATTCTGGGCTTATTACTTTGTTAATGGTGTAGTTAGTAAGATTCAGTACTTACAGCTTCTTTTTTTTCATTAAGAGGGTGTTTGTTTTTACTGGAATTTCTTTTTTTTAGACACAGAGTCTCACTCTTGTCACCCTGGGTAGGATACCATGGTATCGTCATAGCTCACAGCAACCTCAAACTCTTAGGCTCAAGCTATCTTTTTACCTCCGCCTCCTGAATAGCTAGGACTACAGGCACTCACCACAATACCCAGCTAGTTTTTTTTTTCTATTTTTAGTTGAGATGGGATCCTGCTCTTGCTCAGGCTGGTCTCGAACTTCTGAGCTCAAACAGTCCACCCATTTCGGCCTTGCAGAGTTCTAGGATTACAGGCATAAACCACCACACCTTACTGCAATTTCTGCATGAACCCAGACTTTGAGGTCTAGTTTGCCTCTCATTACTTTGTAAGGTGGCTCCTGGCTTCTCATGGACATGTCCACTGAGCACCCATGTGTCCTTATGCTGCCATTTTATGAAGTACCAAGCATACCTGGCACATAGTGGATGCTCTGGTTGATGAAAGGAAATAAGTGCTTTATGGCAGTGAGATATTTGGCATAGCAGCCTCAGGAGGTCAATTCATAAAAGAAGAAGCACCCATCAACCATCAGCCTTTGGGAAAAGTCTTTTTTTTTCACCCAAACTTCTTGTGAAAGTTTAAGATCTAGAAGTCAAGAGCCCAAAATCTAAAGACAGACTCCAGTTTAAATTCTGGCTCAGTGGCTTGCTATGTATATGATCTCGTTCAAGTTACGTAACCTATCTCAGTATTGATTTTCCCATCTGTAAAATGGGGATAATGGTTCCTGCCCTCAAGACTTCATAAGAAGATTGACTGAGGTATTGTATCCAAAGCACAGTGCCTGGCACCAATTAAGGATCAATAAATGTTAATGTGATGATGATGGTGAAACTTGTCTTCTGTATCATGGTGTATCTTTTAGTAGAAATGATGCCGCAGGTCCTTGTAGGGAGGATCTTTTGTTAATATCTAAAAGCAAGTTTGGAGGTATATCATATAGTGTATCTATAATCCTTATATAATTATTTTCAGAATGAATGATAGGAAGGCATTTTTCCATTTCATTGATAACTTACACACTGACCTCCCTCTCAGCCTTCCCACTACACTTGTATTTTATATTTCCCTGGACACCCCACACACTTGGAAGAGGTGTTTTACTTCTCTCTCACCCCTTATACTCTCCAACCTGGCTCCCTGAAGAAAAAAGGCGAATGAAAACTGAAATTTATCTACTGAGTTTCATTAGACATTCTCATGTAATGCCCACAAGAACCTCTGAGACAAATTGCTTCTCCTGAGTCTCAGACACCTAATCTATAAAAGGTAGGTGATTGGGATGGGGGAATAGGAGATGCTCATAAAAGGCAGCTCCCCCTCCCCATCCACTCCTTCCCCCAGGAGGCTTAACTACTGCCACATTCTAGTTATATGGAACGCATGATTTACAGTAAATAGATGGTCCCCATAAATCCTTGGGTGTCTTGAATCCTATACTCTGATAGCACAGAAAGATGATTCTTGGCTCTTTTACCTAGGAGCCTAAGGAACCTACCATGTATAGATAACTGGAAGAGAGCAGGAGGGAGGGGTGAACAGTTAAATAGGATATTTATTGTTTGGATTTGGGGACAAGTTTTATTTTGGTTTTGCTAGCTGAGTGATGAACTGTCTGCAGGTTCAGTCGCCTAATAGCAATGGTTTAGCCCCTACTTACTGGGGATTCTTTGCAATTTGTAAGAGCAAGAAAAAGAGAGTTAGAGCAGCTACCAAGATACCTCTTCCCAGCACCTCTCTGGGACTAGCCTTCTCCTCCTAATAGTTAAAGCCTGCCACTTGCAGATGTTTTCCATGGTGACCGTGTTGATTTAGATATGCTAAGAAGGTGAACAAATTAACTGTTCTGTTTCTCAGTGTTTCCTAGGAGACTTAGCAGGTCTCCATAGATTTATCTCACACCTGACAACCAGACTTTCATAGTAGGAAATTGAGAGAGATTGTTGTAGGCAGATAAGATCATGGCTTAGTGGATATTAAAGTTGAATGCAAACGTGGCTTGTGGTCGTAGTATCAAAGCAGTTCTTCCAATATGCAGATCTATGGAAAATGAGCTTTTGAATCCATGTGGTGAATAATAGAGAAAAATGCAGAGATGAAAAACATTTCTTTAATATCAATTTTGTATTGTTTAAATAATAGGAAAAGCTAACTCACTTTCATCTTATTTGAAGTAATTCTATCACTGATATTATTTGTTAACTTGCTTTCTTATTTGGAGTCAAAAGTAGTTAAGGGAGCTTTTCTTATAAAAGAATGTTTCTTCAAGTTGAATAGGTATGTGAAGCATCTGGAGATCTGGCTAAAATTTGTTAAAATTTGTTTAAGAGGAATAACCTATGGACTCTGTAAGTATGGGAGGGACCCCCGATTCTGCATTCCTAACAAGCTACCGGGTGTTGCCATGTTGCTCATTCAAAAACCACATATTGGGCCACCCTGCCTGATGGCTCACGCCTGTAACCCTAGCACTCTGGGAGGCTGAGGCAGGTAGATTACTTGAGCTCAGGAGTTCAAGACCAGCCTAAACAAGAGCAAGACCCACTCTCTACTAAAAACAGAAAAACTGGGGCAAGAGGATCTCTTGAGCCCAAGAATTTGAGGTTGCTATGAGCTATGATGATGCCATGATACTCTATCCAGGGCAACAAAGTGAGAACTCTGCCTCAAAAAAAAAAAAAAAGAAATATTATAAAATTTTGAACTTAAAAATCAGAGACATGAAGTTTTTTGTTGTTTTTCAGATGTTATTACAACTGAGTGTTCCTTCCTTTCTTGATAAACAAGAACCACCTTTATCCTGTTTATTAAATTCATGTCTATTTTTCACAGACTTTATACATTCTAGACCTTCAGAAAACTGGAAAAAGACCACATCTTCCTAGCTGAATAAGTCAGTTAAGGACTGTAGGTTGATTTTGTTGTTGTTTATTTCAGTATATGGTAGGGGTACATTTTGGTTATGTATTTTGCTTTTGTAAATGTTAAGTCAAAGTTACAGGTGTAGGTTGATTTGGCCAGTTACAATGAATACACACTCTCTTTGGAAAAGATGATTCTAGAACATAGGATTTTCCTATTGAATGAATCTTAATGGTCTCCTTAGGGAGAACCCTGAAACTCCATGAAGTTGGCAGGTATTCAAACACCACCCTCTACCCAGATGATTTCATATTGTTTATCCAAGATTTTTCTTTTGTTGTCAGAATGTTAGTAACTATGTTTATGATGCTAAGGCTTCCTGTTTAAGGATGCGGAATGCCTTTTCATCTGTCCAAGTCTACTTCCTTATCTCTATAGTGTTAGCCTCATAGATCTTACGTATTTATTGCTGAATTTAATCCCACTGTAGGAACATTTGTGGATGAAGTTATATGTCTTGGGATTGGCTTTAAAGTGCTGCTGCCAGGGGATGGGAGTTAGGGAGGTTCAGATGAAACAAGATCAACCATATGTTGTGATGTTAGGGAAAGGGTCATGTGGAGGTTCATTGTATTATCTGTATCTTTTATATGTTTGAAGCTTTTTGTGTTATTTTTTTAAGTTTGAAAAGAAGGCTAACATGAGTTGCAGTTGTATTTGATGATTAAGGTTGGAATGTATGTGGGAGTGTTTCAAGTGCACATCGGCTAGCCTGGGTGAAAACATGTCTCTGAGACAGTGTCTCTCTGTTTCCAGGGTTGTTATGATCTGGTGACCAGTTTCATGGAGACTAACATGGGAATCATCGCTGGAGTGGCATTTGGAATCGCATTTTCCCAGGTATCCTATATAATTGTGCAGTGCCTGATCTAGCCTTTCCCCCATCTTCCTCCCTGGCCTCCAAGTTCTTAGCGTGCCTTCCTATGCCTTGGGAAAGGCTGATAGATGGGGTCAGAGCTCATTAGTCCTCAGGTGATCTGTTTATTGATTTTCCTTTTTCAACTTAAATGAAGTTTTGTCATCAAGGGAATATTGGTTACAGTCCAACTAATCACTAGCTCCAAAAAAAAAAACAACCCTGCTTTCTTCTGTAGGTCAAATGGAGGTTAACTGAACAACGTGTGGCATAATTGGAGCATAAACAAGTCAAAACATTAAATGGCTTGTCTGGATTTGGGCAAGGGCTTTTCTCTGTTGACCTGTCCATTTTTAGTTCTTAGGGGATTATGCATGAAACCTCTCCCTTTTAAGGAAGCCTAAATTTAGCAAACTTCATCTTCTGATTAGTATTTTCATCTTTAACTTTGACTACTATGTTTTTTAAGAGGAACCAAAGTTTTGTGTATTAACTTTTATATCTCATTATCCCTACCCATCCTCTAAAAAACAATGGGGAGGAGTAATTATGCCAAGTAAGTAAGCCACACATATTCAAGGATGAAGCAAGACTAAACTAAATCTCAAATTTAGCCCATCTGGATCAGGCAGAATCCAGTCCCTCAGGCTTCTGATCTCCCAGCCAAATGATTATATCCTTGATATAATATTGCCATGGGTGAATGAGAGGATTGACATGTGTGCTTAGCAAACACGTGAAAACTTTATTTATGTTTAACTCCGACTTTGTTCAGACCAACAAATCATTTTTCAAACAAACTCCAATTAATGTTGTCTGAGTAATGTTTCCACAGCTCTAGTTTCTATACAGGCAATCTCAAACTCTAATTACTTTTTACTTGCCTGTGTGTACCTCTGGCTTTCCTACTTAGCGCTACAGATGTACTTTAATTTCATTCAAGTTTGTTCTGAAAACTTTAAATTGAAATATGAAATGTACAGAAAAGTGCATAAATTGTACGTTCATAGCTTAATAAATTACCCACAGAATGAACATCGCTGTGTAACACTCACTTAGAGAATAGAACATTAGTCTGATAGTTTGTCTTTGCAAGTGCAGAGCCTGAAAAGCTTTTCTTTCCACGCAGTTACCAAAACCTGTGTAACTTTTCATCTCACAAGAGCATGTGAGCTCAGCCAAGATGAGTGTGTTTCCGGTTGCAGGTTCAAAACTCTTTTGGAAGTGTGCTTCATTTGTTTGCAGCTCATGAAGTGAATTAAACCCTCTACCTGCCAACACACAGACAAACCTGAGTGGGTTCACAAAGAAAGTGCATTAACTCAGTCTCAGAGATATTTCAAAAGCAATTGCTATCCTGAACTTTTATCTGGTTGCTATAATGTTTTAATAATAGTAACATCTCTGGAATGGCCAGGGGCATTTTAGAAGATTCTAAGCCTTCTTACTGAGGCCAGCATGCAAGATGCACTGATGGCCTTAAGCATACTGTCTGCTTAAGACATGTATGTGTAGCATCAGACTTTTTTTTTTTTTTTGAGACAAAATCTAACTCTGTCACCCTGGGTAGAGTGCTGTGGCATCATCATAGCTCACAACCTCAAAACTCAGCCTCCCAAGTAACTTGGACTACATGTGTGTACCATGTAGCCAGGCTAGTTTTTCTGTTTTTAGTAGAGATGAGGTCTTGCCCTTACTTGAGCTGGTCTTAAACTCCTGAGCTCAAGCAATCCACCAGCCTCAGCCTCCCAAAGCCCTAGCATTACAGGCATGAGCTACTGCACCTGGCCATGTAGCATCACATTTTTAACACCAAAGGATCAGACCTGGGTTTAACATTTGAGGGGGATTGTCCTCGTGAAGAGAAAAATATTGTTGAAATCTCTCCTAACAGCTATCCTAGAACCATAAAGGAACATGATGCCAGTACTGTACATGAGGGGAAGAGAACCTCAAAGTGCCAGGAATCCCATGGATGAGACATCTTAGCATCCAAGAATATTCCCATGTGGCCTGAGTGTGTGGGTGGTGAGGGAGGAGGATCCTATTTTCATTAGTGAGATGAATCAAGTCAAATGGATCTTTCTCCAAGTCATAAAGAATCTGATTAATACTTTTTTTCCATTCCTCTTGCCAGGCAGGTCCAGCCGGGCAGACTTGAGACCTGCTGTGTTCAGCTTAGGGCAGGGAGAAGAATGGCTATCAGTGCCTTTTACCGGACAGATGTTCTAAGAACTGCAGCTATTTATGATGCCAACAGCCTCAGTATTCTTGGAAGCTGAAGTTGTCTTCCAGACATCAGTAGATCCATGGCTTCATGGAATGTTATATTCTGGAGTGGAGACAGGAAAGCTGTTTTCTAAAAGGGAAGGGTGGAGTGGCTTGCCTGAGGCTTGAGGTTGGGTAGCTACAATAGATCCAAGATTATAGCTGTGACCTCCTCACCTGGTCTGCTATGTTAAGGCTAGAGATCACCCTATTCCTGCCTCTGGGAGCACCTGAAGGGAATTCATTCTGTGCTTTTATAACAAAACCTTCCAGACTGTAATTAGAAGGAAAAAGGTACTTATTAATAAATATAGATCCTATTCTTACCCATTCCCTGATGCTAACCCCTTGCCTGGCCTCCTCCAGGGTCCACACAGCCTGCCAGAATGACCCATTATATGCCAGTAATTCTTTTTCAGGGCCCTTGAGGAAACCTGTTCACCTTTTCTATGTAGAAGGCAGGATAGAGATGGGGCTATTCTTGGATAGAGGAAGAGAGTGCAACCCTAGGCTCTGTGTGAATTACCTGTATGGTCTTGGAGGAGATTCTTGAACCTCCCTTAAATCCATACTATCTGAAAAATTGAGAATGTAATATTGCACAAGGTTGTGGTAAAGGGTCAGTGCATTCAGTCCTCAGTATAGGTGGACTCCACATCCATAGATTCAACCAACTGTGGATGAAAAATATATGAAAGAATTAAAAATAATACAACAATAAAAAATAAAACAATATATAGTATAGCAACTAATTACATAGCATTTACATTGTATTGGGTTACAAGTAATCTAGAGATGACTTAAAGTATACCAGAGGATATGTGTAGGTTATATGCAAATACTATGCCATTTTATACCAGGGACTTGAGCATTCATGAATTTTGGTGTCCTTGGGACATCCTGGAACCAATCATCTGTGGATACCAAAGGATAACTGTAATTTTTGTTATCCCTGAATGTGTTATATACGCTGATGCTTATTTGAATTTTGGGGGCCAGAATTTGATTTTTTTTTTTTTTTTTTGGAGACAGAGCCTCAAGCTGTCCCCCTGGGTAGAGTGCCATGGCATTACAGCTCACAGCAACCTCCAATTCCTGGGCTCAAGCGAGTCTCCTGCCTCCGCCTCCCAAGTAGCTGGGACCACAGGCGCCCGCCACAACGCCCGGCTATTTTTTGGTTGCAGCCATCATTGTTGTTTTGGCGGGTCCGAGCTGGGGATTCGAACCCGCCACCTTAGGTGTACGTGGCTGGCGCCTTAGCCGGTTGAGCTATAGGCGCCGAGCCCAGAATTTGATTTTTTAATATGATCAAGTGTCTTCTGATATTTGTTGGTCCTGGGAAATAGAAGCTCTAATAAAAATAGATAGATATGCTGTGAGGTTCAAAGACCTTACATTCATAGGGAAACTTTAGTGTCCCATTTGCTAGAATATTCTGGAGGTTACAGCTATGGTATCTTCAGCCCCTTGGCAGTAAGTGCATCATTCTGTGTATTTTGTGGCATAAAATGATGTTGGCCAATGCCTTGGTAGGAGATAGGGTGAATCCTATAAGGTGATAACTTTCCCTTACCTGACAGAGGTTATAGTTTGCATATTTCACAGCATAATTCTCAAAAGGAAGCTAAGATCAGGGACTGGAACTTGCATAAGTGGGTTCAGAGTCAGGAGAATGGAGTTCAGGTGTTGCCCTGGCCAACCTTGGAACCCATTGTGGCTGCAGATGTTTCGCCTGGGAGATAAGGGTGCCTGGGAGGACTAGAGGAGTAGTCCCCTGCCCTGAGAGCTGTTAAAACACCAGAGGATCTGATGCAGGAGGGCTGCAGCCTGAGAATGTACATTTCTAACAAGGTCCCTGGTGATGCTGATGTTGGTGCTGCGCCCACACGGGAGTGACACAGCACCAGATTACCTCTAAAAGCCATTCTCACCTCTTCTTCAATAAAACATGCCAAATGGCTTAGGGAGAAGGGACTGCACTGGCCAAGAGCAAGTGGATTCTAGACTCAAGTGAATAATTGGACTTCTATTCAAAGAATGCTGATCTTCCAGATAAATGAGTGAGAATTTTGTTCCTAATGAGCAGACCAAGATGTGCTTAAGGGTGTGTAATAAAGAGCAACTTTTTAAAATCAGATTCACCTGTGCCAATGGTCCAAGCGTGCCACAGAGACAGGTGGAGGTACTCTGTTACTAGTTGTTTGGTGGGTCCTGGGTGAAGATGAGCCCACTTAGCCATGAGCTAGCTATATGGTTTAGAGACACCATTTAAAGCCCCACTTTCCCCTTCTCCCTCTCACAAGCTGGGGCTTTTTTTTTTTTTATAGAGACAGAGTCTCATTCTATCACCCTCGGTAGAGTGCCGTAGCGTCACAGCTCACAGCAACCTCCAACTCCTGGGCTTAGGCGATTCTCTTACCTCAGCTTCCCAAATACCTGGGACTACAGGCGCCCGCCACAATGCCTGGCTAGCTGTGGCTTTCTTACTTGAAAGACAACTATACCTGGTCAAGTGTCTCTATTCTTGTCTCAAGGAAAGAACTATTATTCTGTCAGCCAGACTTGGCTGGTATATCAGAAATCTTTCAGATACATGTGCTATGGCTTTGAATTAAATTTTGACCTTTTAATGATTATCTCACTAATTCTGTGTTACTTAATTTTTTTCACTATTCTTATAGCATGAACACATCTTAATACTAGTTAAGTGTCAAAAGTTGTTCTTAAATGGCAAGAGTGAGCTACAGCTGGAACCTTAGGGCCAGTTTGTGAACCTCCAGTTGGCCCTGCACTTAGACTCCCTATAGACGAGATTCCACAATTGACATCAGTGTTGACCTTTTGCTCTCCCGCCCATTCCCCATCCCCAAACCCTTGGTTGTTAAAAAATTACATCAAAGGACATGCATATATCAAAACATCACATTGTACCCCATAAATATTTGCTGTTATTATTTACCAATTAAAAATCAAAAAAGCGATAGCTATGAGACAAAGAAGGGTGTAGTTCATTGACTCCATATTCTCATTTTTGTTTTCCTCCCTGGCAACAGCTGATTGGCATGCTGCTGGCCTGCTGTCTGTCCCGGTTCATCACAGCCAATCAGTATGAGATGGTGTAAGGAGAAGGTGAGTGGCACTAGGGGGGGTCTTCACTTTGGAGGGCTCCCTTTGGCAGGAGTACTGCCCAATCACTCAACTCCCTGATCTTGGTGGCTCTTGCCCACTTGCAGAAATCTCATTTCCATGGTGCTGGGGAGGAGGTGTGATCAGTACTATTGTGGAAAAGGTAGAAATGCCCTTTTTAGCCTGTTACTTTTTTTGCTGAGCTTTTTATTCATGGTGAGTTACTCACATGTCTTCATTTCTTTCTTAGTCTTTCCAGAACGACAGCAGCATAAGCGACCTGTTTTAAAAAGGAACTGCAGCAATGTTTGAAAGACTTCCAAAGAATATTAGAGCACAGTACATAATACACCTGCCCTGCTCCCCTCTATCCCTTAACCGCCCCCCACGTGCAACTGACACTCCCGCCCAGTCTCTGCTCCACCTTTCAGCCTGTGTCATGTGTAGTGTCCATTTTGTGAAGCCCTGTTGTGGCACAGAATGTAGCCAGGTCCCCCACGCAGCTAGTCCTAGTGAACCCCACCCAGAGGCCCCACGCGTGCCAGCTCCTCCACCTGTACTTGGTCCAACTGCAGCTCGTTGTAGGTGACTGGCTGTCACAGCACCGCTGGCCCCTTTGGGCCCTGCATGTAGTGTGGGAGGCTCCTGTTAGCTCATCACTGTGGTCCATAAATGCCACACACCTTTAAGTAGATAAGTGGATGATAGTTATCTGTTCTTTTGGCTTACTTTGGTTTGGTTTTCCCTTTACTAAGGCTCTTTCCTACCTTCTTCAGGCTGCCTCAGACATGTAAAGAGACACATCAGTCATTGTCCAGGAGGAGAAAAAAGCATGTGTCACGCATGAAGGAACTTACTGTTGAGCTTTAGGTGGCCTCCTTGCTTGTTATCACATACCTGGGGATGGACAGGCAGTTTAGTGTCCCTTTACCTCTCGGTTGAAACCTGTATAATCCTGTTACAAGGCTGTGTTTCTGCTTCTCGTGAAGGCAATGATATTACTTTGTTTTTTCTCCAATTAATTGCCCTGTGTTGTTTTACCTCTTTTTCTTCCTGTATTTTTTTCTTGCATTGACATTACAGACATTGAGGACCTCAACAGATCAATTTAAAAATGAGTGTGAAGGGGGAACAAAAGTCAACATGTTTTTAAAAGATCTTCAAAAATAATGCCTCTGTCTAGCATGCCAACAAGAATGCATTGATATTGTGAACATTTGTGATACATGTATTAATAAATAGAGCAATTACAAGTGGCTGCATTCCGGTTTTGTTCTTTGGTTATTACACACATTTTTAAAGGCCTATTCTGTTATATCTTGTTCCCCAGGGGATTGCAGCCAGATCACTTCACACACAGACACACTTCTCAGTACATACTCCCACCCCACCAAAGTAGCATCAGGCAGCAGAAAAGCTGAAGGATTAGTTTTTGTTGTTGTTGGTGGTGGTTGTTTGTTTGAAACAGAATCTCATTCTGTGCCCTGGGTAGAGTGCCGTAGCTCACAACAACCTCACACTCTTGGGCTCAAGCGGTCATCTTTCCTCACCCTCCCAAGCAGCTGAAACTACAGGTGTCTGCCACGATGCCTAGCTAGTTTTTCTGTTTTTAGTAAAGATGGGATCTTGGGCAGTGCCTGTGTCTCAGTGGGTAGGGTGCTGGCCCCATATACCAAGGGTAGTGGGTTCAAACCCGGCCCCAGCCAAACTGCAACAAGAACAAACATACACACACAAAAAAAAATAGCCGGGCTACTTGGGAGGCCGAGGCAAGAGAATCACCTAAGCCCAGGAGTTGGAGGTTACAGTGAGCTGTGATGCCACGGCACTCTACCGAGGGCAATAAAGTGAAACTCTGTCTCAAAAAAAAGAAAAGAAAAAATAACTGGGCATTGTGTCGGGCGCCTGTAGTCCCAGCTACTTGGGAGGCTGAGGCAAGAGAATCACCTAAGCCTAGGAGTTGGAGGTTGCTGTGAGCTGTGATGCCACAGCACTCTACTGAGGGCAATAAAGTGAGACTCTGTCTCTACCAAAAGAAAAAAAAAAAAAAGATGGGGTCTTGCCCTTGCTTAGGCTGGTCTGGAACTCCTGAGTTCAAGGGATCTACCCACCTCAAAGTGAGCCACAGCACCCAAATAGATTTTTTTTTATTATATACATTTTAGAAACTTGAATCACTTACGACATATAGGCTACATTGTTGGCTACAGAAATGGAAACCTCATATTATTTCAGGCCTCCAAAATCCACTAAAATAAATACAAAAAAATTCCACTTTTTAAAAGTCTAGATTTCAGGGTAGTGCCTATGGCTCAAAGGGGTAGGGCGCCGGCCCCATATACCAGAGGTGGCAGGTTCAAACTTGGTCCCGGCCAAAAACTGAAAAAAAAAAAAAAAGTCTAAATTTCATTTAAAAAGGAAATGAGCACCTATTCTTTCCTTCCTTGTTTCTACTGAGCGTGTGTTCTTCCTTTCCGTCTTTCTTCTCTGGGTTGAATGGAATAAATGCAATCTAGGGAAGAGATTACATCCCACCATGCAGCTGTCCCAGTGCCCCAATTCATGCGGAAGTTTGCAACACTTACATTTGATTTAAACAGCATTTTAGCAATAGAGGCTGTATCATACATGATCTGTGGTCAATTTTTTTCTTTCTTGTTGAGTCATCCAAAAAACCAAAAACCTGGTACAGGTATAAATGGATCTGTTCTCAAATGAGTAGATTTTAAAAGCTCACTTTTCTCTGTAGAACAATCTATAATTAGGATGGAGATGGTTTTCTAACTCTATGTATTTATCAGCCTAAACTCTACATGGGTAAACCCTGCTAGAAGGCTGACAGTGGGCACTTCCCAAACTTTGAAATGTTCTCTTTTAAAAAGTCAACAATTTTAGCAAATCAAGGAGAGTTCTTTTATGAAAACATATGTAGTTCAAAACTTTTCAACATTTCATTTTGTACTTCTATTTCATTGTGTATCAAAATGAGACTTTCCTGTAAAATCCTAAAGAGCGCTCAACCCATGGGTGAGCTTTTAGCAAACTACATTTATTGGCATACGGTGGTAAGAAATTCATATGCTTTCTAAACTAATTTCAGATCTCAGTATTACATACTTATAATGTGAAACATTTGGACCAAACTTGATTTCCCTTAAAAACTATTTCAACTCTGAATGACGTGTGTATAATGTACTTTCTTCCTTTGAATGAAATTAAGACACAAAATACTTTTTTGAGGCATAATGCTTATGGTAAAGTGCACAGAACAGTAAGCGTACAGCTTGAAATTTTACAGTATAAGCCAGTGTAATAATTGCCCAGATGAGATATAGAATTTTTTTTTTTGCAGTTTTTGGCCGGGGCTGGGTTTGAACCTGCCACCTCCAGTATATGGGGCTGGCACCCTACTCCTTTGAGCCACAGGTGCCACCCAAGATTTAAAATATTTTCAGTGCCCTTGAAGGTTCCCTTATTCCCCTTCTCAGGCAGTAACCACACCCCTCTTGCATCCCCCCAACCTCACCCAGGATTAACCACTACTGTTAATTGTATTACCATTGATGAGTTCTTATGTTAACCCCCAGACTCAATTCAAGCACCACTCTGAGAGTCCAAACATCGCTGCAAGGGCATGAGGAGTTTTATTCATTCAAGCTCAGAGCCTGGGCTGCCCTTTAAGAAAAAGCGGAAACAGCCCTTACAGACTATCCAGAAAGTCCCTTTATACCTCTCCCTCTTCCCTCCCATTAGAGCATCCCACCCCATCCCTTATTGGTAGGTAAACCATGTCTGTCTTAAACTGACAGGTACAGGGTGGTCATGTTCAGGGTTGATTGGCTCAGGGACGAGTCTTCTTTGTCTCAGGTGAGTGAATGAGAAGGAAGGGATAAAGGTCGCAAGTGGGGGTGTGCAGAGTAGAGTGGTGAGTGCAAAAAGGGGAGGGGGTCGCAAGTGGGGCGAGTGCAGAGTAGAGTGGCGAGTGCAAAAAGGGGAGGGGGTCAGGATGTGGGCTCTAACACCTAGGTGTGATAAGGTCCTTGGTATGTGGCGGTCTGTTGTTCTGAATAAACAACAAAAGGAGGTAGTTTGACTTGTGACTTGAGTTAATTAGTTTGGCTCCCACACTTACACTTTATGTAAACAGACTCATACAGTTTAGACTGTTTCATGAACCTTCTTTCAATACTGTATCTGCAAGAGTTAGTTACATGGTGCCTGTAAGCATGGTCTTGTCTTTGTTGTGGTATGGGATTCCATCATATGAATATGGCACAGTTTACCCATTCTCCTGCTGGACATTTGAGTGTCACATTCAGACTACCATGAAGAGACCTGCAATGAGCATTATGGGATATGCTTTATGATAAACATATACACACTTGGAATTGCTCAGAAATAAGGTATGTTTAGCTTTTGAAGGTACTGCCTAACATTTTCCCTAAGCGGTTATACTAATTTATACTCCCACCAGCAATATGAAGCAGCTGTAGTCCTACATTCTCACCAACACTTACTAGTCTCATTCTGATTCATTTTAGCTGTTTTGTGGGTATATAGTGGGATCTCATTTTAATTTGCCTTCTCTTTACTACTGATGATGTTGAACATTTCCATTTTCTCATTGGCACTTTGGTATCCTCTTCTGTAAGAGGTCCAAATTTTTTATTGTTGTTGTTTTGTTTTTGAGACAGAGTTTCACTCTGTAGCCCCAGGCTAGAGTGCCATGGTGTCATCACAGCTCACAGGAACCTCAAACTCTTGGGCTCAAGTGATCCTCTTACCTTAGCCTCCTAAGAAGCTGAGACTACAGGTGTCCACTACCATGTCCAGCTAATTTTCTTCTATTTTTAATAGAGATGGATTCTCACTCTTGCACAGGTTGATCTCAAAATTCCTGAGCTCAGGTAATCCACCCCCCTTGGCCTCCCAAAGTGCTAGGATTATAGACATGAGCCACCTGATGCATAGGCAAGAGGTCCAAATCTTTTGTGTATTTAAAAAATTCAGTTGCTTTTATTGATTTGTACAAACTCTATATATTCTGATTACAAGTCATTTCTTTATGTATTAAAAATATTTTCTTCTAGCCTGTGACTTACCTTTTCAAGTATAGTCCATTCTAGATTAACAACACTCTGGTTAATGGTGGAAGCAATAATACAGATAATTTAAAATATCAGAAGTCCTTTCTTCCTAGCAAGAGCAATATTTGATTCAGTAGGACTTCTGTTGTTTGTTGACTGAATTTACAAGGAGCTTTGCCTTTTATTAGTGTGGAATTTATTACAGTTATTTTAATACAACTATTTTACATTTACTAAATATACAAAGATTTGGGGCTTGGAGGAGTAAATAATTGAAGCATGTCATTCAAAAATGTAGGACAGTCTAAGGAATTTAGGAAATAACAGAAAATACACAAGGCAAATGTTTTCTTACTGTTTGCACACATTTATTTAATGGTCCATGTTAAACATCTCTGGACAAAATTTGGGATTAATAGATATCTGAGATTATAACATAGCCCAGAGATTGATTTCTTGAGGTTTCGCCTGGCCATTGAGATGTTTTGATTTTTTTTGAAAGTTCTCTGGGCAATTCTAGCATACAGACAGAATGGGAAACATGTAAGAATATGCTAGTAAACACTGAAAGTATCCAAGAACAGGAAAATGAACTTCCCCTAGTCCTTTAAGCTCTCTGCAACAAACAGGATTGGATATATGAATAGAAGTTTTGACAAGGGTGTGGTATTTCCAGGGAGTGAAATAGTTTAATTCAAAAATGATTACTTGAAGACCTACTGGATTTAGACCATGAGACATCTGCCTTCAAGGAGTGTTGATTAATTTCCATACATGTAGTAGATCATGCAAGCTCCAGTGGTCTTTTGACTACAATACTTCAGGTTTGTACAATAGATTGTGAAAATGCCAATATAATTTCTATGGTTATGATTGTATCAGTTGCTGTTGCTTTATAATAAATCCTCTATCACTTAGTGGTTTGTAATAAACCTTTACTATCACAGTTTTTGTGGGTCAAGAATCCAAGTGTGGCTTAGGTAGCTGCCTCTGGTTCTCAAGTCCTTTCATGGGATTGTTGTCTCCTGTGAAGACTGAACCTGGAGGAGGAGAATCAGCTTTCTAGATTCTTTAGTTGATTGTTGAGAAGCCTTGGTCCCTTGCCACATGGGCCGCTACTCAGGGTTGCCTTAAGACTTGGCAGCTAGCTTGCCCCAAGATGAGTGA